ATAGACTTTTTTTACAACCAGCAGCAATGCTGCCTTAAGTTCAATTCTGAGATGAGATTGTACTCTGAAGCTAATGCAGCACATGCACAGGTATACTACAAATGCCAGTCACACCTCACAACGTTCTTAACCTTGTTGATGTATGTGACAAGCAGCCAAACCATGCAACAAGAGTGGCCAACTCATGATCAACAAGTAACAGTGGGTTTTGGTTGGGGAAATAAAGGTTTAAATGTTTTCTAAATTCTTGGAAAATAAAAAAAAACATCAAGAATAGCACTTTGTTCTGTCCTACATAATTAACTAAGGATAACGACCCAGATCATCAACCAGGCTTGCAATATGGATGATCACACCTGCAAAGTTGAATCAACCTGTGAAGTAAAGCAGCTGTGACTTCTAGAATTACCCACTAGGTGCTACTCATGCCGGTGGATCAGCAAATCCATGTTTTTCCTCGGACCACGAGAGCAGAACACAGGCTGGTGCTTACAGACTGCAGCAGTTGTAAGCACAAATTTGGCTCATGCACATTGAAAAGCTGAGGCAGGTAACTGATTTGCCAGGCTCTCTGCCATATACAAAGTGTTCAGCAGCACAAAATGCAACATTATCTGAAGTGATATGATAATTGCATTTCAGAAATAGCAGCTGACAATGTAGTCAAGCATTTCCTCTTAAAGGGATTTTGTAAGTATGACATTTCTTACCTTTTCAATACTTAGCCTTACCCTTGCTACATGCTTTTACCAGCAGTACTGATGGAGTGTGCAGAAAAAGGAGTAGAAAAGAGCAGCACTGCAAACAATACTATCTAGTAAGAAATTAATTAAAGCTGTACAGTATTGACTGTAAGAAATGTATTATTTTGCAATGACCAGAAAATAAACTCTGCAATAATAGTGTCATCAGGAGTGGAGCATTATTTATAGTGCAGGTGGGTAAAGACAACAAACCGTAGCTCTTCCATATTGCTAAAGGATAATTTAACGAAGGTGATCTTTTTCTCCCCCTTATACATTTCTTACAGGAACAAAACCAGCTGATTTCCCTTTCCAGTATCTTGTCTCACCCTTCTTCAAGAAGCAGGGAGTTTGAGCTTCCAGCCAGGCTAGATATTTTACTAATTACTATACTCATTTGCATAGCCAAAAATGACTCAAATTTATCTTGCAAAAACACTCAATTTTCTGTTTTCAAAGGCATATTAATACATGCACAGTGCTTCTGTGGCTCAGACTCAGAACATTCCCACTAGCTGAAGTTGTTCTTAGGATCCTTTCTTTTCTAGGAAAGCTTTGGCTGAATTTTGCTTATGGAGTCATCCCATTCCTGCCCGACAGAGATTCCAAAAAGACAAGCCTCCTGGGAAAATGTACTCATAACGTAGAGGCAAAAGAAAGGACATGCTCACTGAGATCAGATTCAGCTCTGAAATGGGGAAAGTCAGTTTAAGATAAAAAAGAAAGCTGCTTTGACATACAGTCTTCCTTTGTACATAAGACAAGCAACTCTGAGAAACTGTTTCACTGTACCACATAGAGGGCCCTGTAGGGCTTTGTCAGATGAAAGGAAATGATAGTAGTGTGATCTGCACAGGTGCCAGCAAGAGTCTACTCAGAGAACATTAGGACTGCAGAAGGCAGGCACCTAACTACAGAACCATTACTGCAAATGAAGACAAATAAATGGAAAGAGCTTCTTTTAATGGTCAGACCTTAAAGTAAACTTGTAAGATCTATATGCAATAAAAATCCTTTAATGCTTGTGCACTGAAAAAGTTGATATACAAAGGAATATGGAATACCACGGTGCTGTTATAGTATAGGTATTTCTAACAGGAACACTACCTTAATGACTTCTTTAAAGATGCTTTGTAATTTAACCTACCTTTGTAACATGTGTGTATGTGTATCTGTGTGTGACACCTACAGTGTCATCCCTAAAGCCAGGTTTAATCAGATATACAGGCTGTAAATATTGATGCAGCTTTGACATTTCACACCTTTACAAGGCTTCCTGTGACCATGAGCACCTCAATATTTTTATAAACCTGGTCTATGTCTGGTGGAACACACAGATTGGTTCCTGCATGGAAAAACACAGCAATATACGAACCACAACTGCAGCATCTTGTAAAAGACATTTACTCCATCTCTTTCTAAATAACTGCAGTTCTGAAATGTAGCATACACAGACCCCTTAGATTAACAAACCTTTATCACTTCTAGAAAAACTCTGATCCCAGTGCCAAATAGAGAACAATATTTACAGGAAATTCATTCAGACAATAGAAAGCAAACCTTCAGAGCCCCATACACTTTAGAACATGGGTATCCTTTAAAGCAATAAAACTTCATCTCCCAGATCTGTAAAAACAAACATATTGCCTTAATAAATATTTTCAATTGTGTGCCATGCAAAGAATCTGTTGGCAGGCTCTGGACCCTTTCCACCAGGAAAACATAACAGGAGACTCCAGGGAAACAGAAACATACCAGTGCTGGACACACAGTGGGAGGTGCTCACAAATCCAGCGCAGATTGTAAAAGGTGTCTAAAGGAAATTGTTCCATTTATTACTTCTTATTTAAAAAGCAGTATATACCTCTGCTCAGTGCCTGGAAACCAAAGAACATATGTGTAGGTAAGGCAGAAGACTGAACATTCCTTAGCCGGCAAAACTTACCCACTCTCTTCACTGAAGCACAAAGCAGGGAATGTGATATCCCCCTGAACCTCCCGAGTGTAAACTTCTCCAATGCCTGAGACATCACTGGACAGAATGTGTGCACAATCGTTCTAAAATGCTTATGCTATGAATGGATTTTCTACTCATGTTGACCATAAATATGACTACAGAATTGGCTTGAAGTATCCCTCATCTAACACTATTCCTATAGGGTCAACCATAAACAGTAGTACAGATTTTCTTTTTTCAATGAGAGGTAAAGGGTCAAAATGTCAAAGATTCTCAATAGCAGGAGATGACCAGTTTAAGACAAGATAAAGATGCTTGATCACCTCTGAAAACCTAGAGCAAGGCACCCACGACACTCTCCGTTCCTGAAAACATGCCCTGTTCTCTGAAATGGTAAAATAAAGAGCTTGTGCTGGTCATACAAGTGAACAGAGGAAAGTAATGATGGTATTGAGGTGCCTAACCACGGCAGAGCTGTAACACACAATGCAAAGAGCACAGTCTCACTGGTCTTCGCAAGCATTGACTTGCTTTGCCTCTGCATTTCAACAGGGAGAGGCACAAGGTATCATGAGCTGCTCCAAGAAGGCTGCAGTATCCACCGCTGACTCAGGGCTGTCTTTGGGCATTCAAAGGTGCACAGAGCAGCTTGCTACTGCTCCTCTGTACACAGCTTCTTGCAGTGAAGTGAAAACGGGGCTTTTGATAGAAGCCACATTATAAGATTATTTCTCCTAAAAAATAAACTCATAAAAAATGTTCCTAAAAAAATGCCTGATCCATGTTTTCAGCCCACATAGATATTAAACCGAGTTTCCTAGCCCCTGAAAAGCTAATTATGCATTCAATTAGGGTTTCTTAATAAAGATTAAAACTCTGAAGTCTATTACAGGCCCATATTTAATTCAACTGCCATTTTATCCATGCCATGAAAGTGTGAGTGGTAACAATGAATATAAATTATAACACATGCCATAGAGTGAATGCTATTTGTCCAAGTACGTTACTATAAAGAATTAAATTTTGCTATCGGTTCCATAATCTAGTTAAAATTGGTATTCTTTATTTGGTCTTTCAATGTAGTCCAATTTCCTACTTTGAAAAACAAATTCTAGGGAATAAAGAAAAGAGATTAATTTATCATTAAGACTCTGCTTAATTGAAGTCAATTCCGAACAAACTTGAATTCAATTTCTACTCATTAAATTGAATGTGCTCTGCGTTTCTCTCTGCATTGCTTTGAGCAAGCAGCTGAGAACAAGGGACTAACATCAAAATTATTAAATTGAGGAGATTTTATTTGGTCTTCACATGCCAGAGCCGCTTTGATGAGGAGCTGTTTTGGCACTGAAAGGAAACGAGAGCAGCTGGAGGAAAAATCAAATGAAACTAAGCCTCGGAAAATTGAAGAAAACGCAAGCTTAATAATATTTAATAATTAAATTTCCACAAACAATAGCGGCAAATGAAGTAATCTGCAAAGTCTGTGAACTCATTTGCATAATTGATGCCGGTCCCCTGTAAATGAATAATGAAGATAATAAAAGATGTTGCTAAAAATGGGCACAATAACAGCAAATTTCATCAAGCCGTGCGCTCTGATTAATCTGCTCTTGCAAATCAGCAGTGAGAGGGGGACGCGTGATTGCCCGTGCAGCGGCCGCAGCCGCCAGCAGCCGCCTGCCCAGCCCCATCCCCTGTCCCTCCTGGTGGGTACATACAAAGCTCTGCTGCTCAGGTTTGGCCTGGGCTAACCATAGTGTCCTTCCTCCTTGGTGACCACCCCACAAGGTCAAGCCCTCCCCTAGGAAATGCTCTGCTGAACTGCCCAGGGAATAGGACAAGGTTCCTCTGTGTTACTGCCTGATAAGGCCCTCAAAGCTAGAGAAGGTCTGCCTGGGGCAGCTGTGCACCTGGAGCTTCTGCTTAGCCTGTCAGTTGCACCATCCATCACTCCTTTATTCTTCCCTGTGAGGGTGCTGAGGCACTGGCATAGGCTGTGCCCAGAGAAGCTGTGGCTTCCCCATCCCTAGCAGTGTTCAAGGCCAGGTTGGACACTGGGGCTTGGAGCAACCTACTCTAGTGGAACGTGTCCCTGACCATGGCAGGGGGCTGGAGCTGGATGAGCTTTAAGGTCCCTTCCAATCCAAACCAGTCTGGGATTCAGAAAAATAAGGCTAGCTATGTACGTAACCATGCGCTGCACTGATGGAGCCCCTTATGGCTCTGCTCAGGCTCATGACATGGCCCAACACCTCACAACTCAGTCTCCACTCCACATAGATGAAGAGTTAAGTGCCACAAGCATGAACTGCTGGCCAGGCTGTAATCAGTAGACATAAAGTAATACTTTCAAGCTTAATACTCAGTTTACCCTCATTTAGCTACTCCCACTCTGCAGGGTCCCACTCTGCAGATTTCTCTGGCATTAATTAGTGCTTTTCCCAGGACTGGGATTTTTCACACACTGCAAAACAAGATAGGAGAAACCAGTTACACTGCTTCCTCAAGCTGCTGCATAGCCTGGTAGTGGACACTACACACTGGAAATGGAAAAGTATTCCAGTAAGTAGTAACGTTTCATAATACAGCCTCTACAATATTTTAAAGCATTTAGTACTAACCATTTAGGAAGAAATTACTTCAGTGGGGTAACTCATAGAAATATTTATAGGATCAAGACTCATGCTGTTATCTGTAAATATAATTTAATACTCTGTCGCCCTGAACAAGTGATCTCAGACACCGAACAATTGCAGTGAGTAAGAACTTTTCACTATATGCAATATTTAAGTGTTCTATAGTGAAAGTACAAGACACCCCCTATTTTAATTGGGTTGTTTTGCTCGAATTCTAGATCCATCTTAACAACTACCATTTAATGAAGTAAAGGGCTTGTATTTTACTATAGAATGGAAACTTCAATACCAGACAAACCAAAAAGAAGTCACTGAAAACCAAAAAACCCCATTATTTTCTCCTGTTTATGGCCATTTGCAAGCTGCATTTCCATCTATTTAATTTGGTGAGCTTTCACTTGCGAGCTACCATCTCACTCCTTTAAACACAAAGGTGAAGAGTAGTCTGCCCTTTGTGGCAAATCATCTTTCCTTCTGCACTGATAGTAAACAAGTGCTTAGATTTAGTTATTAAATCTATGTACAGCACTATATAAACATGTAACACGGCTTGATATGTCATCATTCACACAAACATATCATGGGCAAATTGCATGCAGTACATACAAAAGCAGTTAAGCCATTCAACATAGAATGAGCAGGTTTTCTCCCCAGCTTGACAAGGAGGGCAATAACCAAGCTTATGATACCCACAGACCTGGATGGCAAGAAAGAAGGTTTGGTTGTTCTATTAGGCATTAGACCTCATAGCAGCCTTTCGGTATCTGATGGGGGCCTATAGGGATGCTGGGGAGGGACTCTTCATTAGGGACTGTAGCGATAGGACAAGGGGTAATGGGTTAAAACTTAAACAGGGGAGGTTTAGATTAGATATAAGGAAGAAATTCTTTCCTGTCAGGGTGGTGAGGCACTGGAATGGGTTTCCCAGGGAGGTTGTGAATGCTCCATCCCTGGCAGTGTTTAAGGCCAGGTTGGATAACGCCTTGGGTGACATGGTTTAGTGTGAGGTGTCCCTGCCCATGGCAGGGGGTTGGAACTAGATGATCTTGAGGTCCTTTCTAACCCTAACTATTCTATGATTCTATGTAGGGAATTGTTTTATTGGTGAAAAAGAAACCAATCTAGAGGAAAGAAGAACACTGTATAGAATATAAATCCATACTGTGCAGCTAGGAGAAGAGCTTTTAATCATATATTTTTTATTTTTCTATTATTTGAGGAATAATTCAGTTTCTGGCATAAGCCAGGGCAATTTAGAACTGCTACAAATTCAGTAACCTTGACATTGATCCTAAGGATGCTTTCTTTTGGCTCTGGATCACTGAAGCACAACAATCTATGGCTGTAAGTACAGAACAGCCACAAGCCAAAGGGAGTACTGAGGCACATAAACCAGTTTCGTATCAACCAAAATTCCTCTTGCTAGGCAGTACAAAGACCATGGAAGAGGACTAAGGATTCTCAGCCTTATAGGTTTGTGAACTTAGGAAGCAAAGATGCCATTAATAAGGGAGACTAAGTCAAAAACCTAATGGAGATTTGGATTCTATTTCTGATGGAAGTGATGTATTTGGGGTGAAAGCTAGCTGTTACAAATTCAGTTCAATGTGAGTTTAAAGCACACCTTATGGTCACTCATAACCTGAATTACATTCAGACTTGAGTCAAAGCGGCAGATGGAAGAGTTCCGGTTGAGCTCATTCCTATTCTCAACTTGATGAAATTGAGTCAACAAAAGGACATGATAACTGCTGAGTGAGATGTGAAATAATGAAAGGGCCACAATGACGAGAAGACAAAGATGGGTGTTGTCATCTGCAGGATATGCATTGCTGAATTCAAAATGGAGATCAAGGGAAAACCAGAACAAGAGTTGCACTCTGAAGGATGCTACATCCAGGTTTAGCAGGAAAACTGGTAACCAGACGATTGTCCTGAGTGCACCTAGAGTAAACACCCATCAAGTGCTCAGCGTATTCACACTGGATATGGGATCATGACAAAGGAGAACTCAAATGTGGGTCCTAGATGCCAGGCAAAAGTGTATTTCCATCCCTGTTCTAACCTACAGTCAGGCTCATTGAAGAGCTGAGGTTTCAGCTCTTTCATCAACAGTCATTCTTATGCTAAAACCATATCCCAAAGACCAGTGGGGATTTTGAAAGGGAAATCTGAGGAGTATTTTTTGCAGTATCATCAGAGCTGACACTTGAACCTGTGTTTCCCAATTCAGAAACCTTCATTTCTTTGTGGCTGGCACAAGTCTCCATCCTTTCCCCCACAATGCAACCTACAAATCATTTTCCTCACAGGAAAATATCTGAAACTGGCATATTCAATACTTTGTCATCAGTGTTCAGCATTTTCTAATAAAATATATAGTTATATTTTATTCTGATAAAATATGTACAGTTGCACTGTTTAATTAAATGGGAATTAAACATAGTTTAACACTAAAATATCTGGGCAAAAATAGTAATTCCACTGAACAAAGCTAGTAGAATCGTGCTTTGCCTAGAAGCCAGACATATGGGTATATCACTTGTCATGATCACGGCAAGATGGGGGAACTGACATCAAAAGGAAAGGTTTTTAAACATGTCATTGGTTGATCCACAACTCACAAGGAGGGCTTACTGGAACTCTTAATAGCTAAATATTTGTACCTCAATACCAGGCTATAACTTGGCATGTAAGGACTCAACCAGAAATGTAATTATGATGTTTTTACATCAGTTTGGGGCAGAGTTTAGTTTTAACTTAAACAATTGTAATAAAAAAAAGAAGTCTGATGACTTCCAAAGTTTTCTTACACTTATACAGCAAAACTTTGATATTAAAAATCTACATTTATACATGGCAGTTAAACCATAATACTACATGTTGGTGATTCACACATCACCCACTCCAGAACTTCGGCAGCAAAGCCACAGCTGAAGTATCTGCATGTATCACATCCCATTGACAGTAACCAGCAAAATTAGTTTGGGGCTTGTTGTGCTGTTGTTGCCTTTTTTCTTTTTTTAGTATTTCCACTTTTTTTCATCTAATGTATTTCCCAGGTTTTATTAAACCCTAAAACTTGGGGGCTCAGAACATTTTTCCAAAGCAGGTGACAGCAGAAAGAACAGATTCCATGTGAACCTTCAAGCTGGAAGAGCAGGAGTTTTAGCTTCTGAAGGAGACAGACAGCTGCTCCAATCTGTATGAATAAAGGTGAAAAGAATGAAAATGAAAGATTTGCTCCATTCTGCCCTTCCTCACTGCCACACAGACCTCTCCTGAGTCAAGGCCCAAAGGTGGGAAGCAATGCGTGACAGATTCAGAATGACTTCTGTAGCCTCAGTATGATGATTCAGTATTTTGTGTAAAATAAGTTCAACAGTCCAAGTGAGTGAGTGTCAGTGTGTGTGACACAGAGTGTATTAGGGGCTAAATGCAGCGACGGTCCTTCTAATGTGGAAAGTTTGAAAACTATGTCAACAATAGCCTTTACAGTCAGAGCCAATGGAAAAGTTCAGTGGGATAGTAAAAATCAAAAAGCAGGGGTTTGATTAGTTTAAGAAATGGTACTTGCAGCTTCCAGCTAATAATACATGTCAATATAAAACTGATTTGTTTTCCAAGAATCATCTTTTATTTCCTGTTCTTTGTGAGCTCTATCATTGTTACACTGTTAGAAGTCATTATCAAAAAATCTCTGCCTGATAGTAGGACTGGGAATAATTAGATCAGGTCCAGTCCAGCCCAACGGCTCTGGTGCATTGACTCAAGACCTGACCTTTGTTGACTAATTAATTAAAAGGACCCTGTATCAGATGCAAGTGTTGTGATTGGCTTTAATGCCCTACAGCAATCTTAGTCAGAACACGCAGATTCTAGTGTGCTATTCTCAGCATCTTTTAGTACAGGTATTTTTCATCTTTAAACATGAAGATGAACAACTGTGGGTTTAATTACTTGCCTTTCCATTCAAAATATTGTTTAGCAATGAATTAGATACGCTCTCACCTCAATGGAACACTAATTCAGAGATGCTGAGACTGGTGCAGTATCTGGAGAAACCTATGATCTAAAAAGGCAGGAACAGCCTTTATTAATGTCTGCTTTTTCTTTCCTTCCTTCCCTCCTCCCTCTCCTCCCCCAGCTGATTCTTGAGATCCTTATGCATTCCGTGTTCTGTTCAACCATGCATTCTAGTATTGCATCTACATAGACTCCACCCAGAGAGCATCCTGCAATACGTATCTTCAGCACATCCCTGGTTTGCCCCCCAGTGTTTCAAAGAAAGACTGACAGAATTTAGCAACTCGTGCTGGAAATTGTTCCATTTTAAGTTTCACTTGATCTTAGCTGATAGTTTTCAGGCAGAAGCAAATTACATTGCTCTTAGTACAAGTAAACCCAGACTGAATGAACTCCCCTGTTTTCTATAGCTCTTGTGTGAAGCTGGTGGAGTCACCCAGGAAATCTATGAAGACAATGTCTTCATAGGCTAAGCCAGTCTGGGAAGCTTAGACCTTTTTTTTGTACTCTTTGTCATTCAGCTGCCATGTTTGACTCTAGACATAGTTAACTTGTCAATGTAACTCCTATTGAACAGGCTTTCTTTGACCACTCCAACAGTTCATTTTCATTGCATCTTAAAATTGCATATGATGCTCTTCCATGCTAACTGGCTCTGAAGACTGTAAACTTCAATTACATGTTCTGCCATGTTTCTAGGAAAGAAAAACTAAAACTTGCCTGGCCAACAGGACTCTTAGAATACTTTTGGGTCAGATTTCTTCCTGTGGAGGATTTCTCTTCAAACCTTACATCATTACAT